GAGTGTGGACACGGTAGACACCATGTCAGAGTGTGGACACGGTAATCACCATGTCAGAGTGTGGTCACGGTAGACACCATGCTGGAGTGTGGACACGGTAGACACCATGTCAGAGTGTGGACATGGTAGGCACCATGTCAGAGTGTGGACACGGTAGACACCATGCTGGAGTGTGGACACGGTAGTCACCATGTCAGAGTGTGGACACGGTAGACACCATGTTGGAGTGTGGACACGGTAGACACCATGCTGGAGTGTGGACACGGTAGACACCATGTCAGAGTGTGGACACGGTAGTCACCATGCTGGAGTGTGGACAAGGTAGACACCATGTCAGAGTGTGGACACGGTAGTCACCATGCTGGAGTGTGGACACGGTAGACACCATGCTGGAGTGTGGACACGGTAGACACCATGTCGGAGTGTGGACACGGTAGTCACTGTGAGTTTTTCAGAACCTCAGAACTGGCATTGGTTTGTAGTTCCCTATAAGATGATCAACAAAAATCATCCCAGCCATTGATTATGACTTATTATTAAAGGAAGAAGCCAGTGAAACTCGCCTGTAGCCCCTTCCTGTCCCCTCCTATCTCACTGTTGGCAATGCAGTATCCTTTTCACCCAAGTCCAGCAAGGCTAAACTTCCTGTTTTGAAAAGGCAAGTTAGATTTCACTTTAGATGTGACTCTTACCCAAGAAACAAGTGTGTTGCCTCACATGGCACTTTCCCATGCAATGTCTTCAACAGCTCAGCCACTGCAATCCACCCTGACTGCTTTAATAAACAGCCCCCAGATCTCAGTGGCTGCCTCCCACTCTCCATACGGTCCTCTGTACCCAGCAGAGGTGGCAGACGAGGAAGGTGAGTCCGAGGACAGCTTTCCTGTCCTTCCTCTCTGCTGTGGGTAAGGGTCTCCCAGCCCTCCACTGACACACCTCATTTCAGCCGGTGATGAAGAGAGAGTGGGGGAACAGACACAGGGAACATTTTAGGACCAGGCCTGAGTGACAGCGGTCACCCCTGCCTATGTGGCACAGGCCATTTGACTCTCCCTGTCCGCAGAGTGGGCTGGGATGCAGCGCTGTCTGAGAGCTTGGCTGGAGGCAGTGGTTTGGTGGAGCCTTGAGGATCTCTGACTTTATTCCTGCCTTAGTCACTTTTCTGTTGCTGTGATAAGACATCATGACCAGGGCAACTTATGTAAGAGTTTAATTTGGGGCTTAGAATTCATGACCATCATAATGGGGACCATGGTGGCCCACAGGCAGGCATGGTGCTGGAGCAGTAGCTGAGAGCTGATGTCATTACCTACAAGTAGGAGGCAAAGAGAGCTAACTTGGAATGGAAAAGTCCACCCCTGGTGTCACACCTGCTCCTTCAAGGCCACACTCCCAATCCTTCCTGAAAGCTCCACCAGCTGAGAACCAAATATTCAAACATACGAGCCTATGGGGACCTTCTCCTTCGGATCACCACAGCAATTCTGCTGTTGGCTTTTGTTTTAATTCCTAGAACTCTGAGCTAGGCCTGGGGACCTTGACCTTAGAGCCAAGAATCTTAATAATCAAGAATGGACAGAAATGCCCCTGCCTTACTCAGAGACATATATTTCTGAGGAGAAAATGCCCACCATTCTGAGATGCTCCATTCATCGGCCATAATTTATTTGCACACTGAATGCTTCCTATGTACAGTGAGGACAGAATAGACAGAAATCCTCACCTTCATGCAGCTCGCAGCTTAGAGAAGGAGAGAGACAGACTAGTTAGATGAAGAAAATGTGATACACCAAGAGGAAAAAGCATCTAGCCTTGTGTAAGAACCAAAGGGAAACCGCCAGTGAGGCTGGGGCATGGTAAGGGAGGGGGAGATCTTCTGGCCATGTGAACACAGTTGTCATCTCAAGACTTTTACTCCAGGACAGGAAGGCTGTCCTTTATGTCTCTCTCATTATCTCATATATAGGAGACACCTAAATTTTTTTTTTAACTACGGAAAAATGCAAACACCTGCCCGCATTTGGTCAGTATTCCCCAGTCCATTAAGATGTGAGCGACATGGAAAGAGGGGTTTGTTTGTTTATTCAGGTCCCCTCCCCCCTGGAATCTGAGCCTTCCTCCTGGGTGGAATGCCTCAGCGCATTAACACAGAAAAGCAGGTTATGCCGACTCACTGTTCTGTGGCACACAGGTAGGGAAGCATGACTCCTGGGCCTGAAGTCAGTTTCCCCTCTTGAACATTTTGACAACAAAATTTGGTTGTGAATTCCCAGCCACCTGGGAGCCTTGCTGATCAGGCAGGCAAAGTGAAGTCTAGGCCCCTCTCTGATTATGAGTGTTGAGCCCTCACATCCAGAGACATACCCTGCCTTCATCACAAGTCACATTTCCATGTGTCAGCCAGTAAAATCATCCAGGCAGAGACACAGGCTGGGTTTCTAAGGGCACTTACCCCATTTTCCAAGAGCATCCATGCCTATGCTCCTTATTGGCTGACAGAAGACTGGGGTCTCAGAACAGCCTGCAGCGGAGTCCTCTCTGTCTCCTCTTCTTCCTTCCATCTCTCCTCCCTCTTCCCCCTCCCCACCGACATGCCTGCCTTCTTCTCCAGGACTTGCTAGGCTGCATTCCCTAGTGAGGAGCCCAGAAACTAAGTCTTCCTTGGGCTCCGTGGTGGCGACAAAAGACTCGCCAGATCAGGAAGGTACTGTTCGTTTTGGCTCACAGCACGTGGGTACTCAGAGGTCATCACGGTAGATGCTGGAGACCGCTGGTCACATTGCAGTCAGTCAGAAAGCAGAGAGAGGTGACGGCTGCTGCTTAGCTGCCTTTCTCATTTCTGTTCCTTCCTGGACCTCAACCCATGGGCTGTTGACACCGACATTTAGGGAAGGTCTTCCCACATCAGTTAACCAAGTCTAGACACTTGTTTCCATGGTGATTCTGAATCTCACCAAGTTGATGGGATGAACCATCACAGGCCTTGTATGCAGACCCTGAGAGGGTCTCCAGGCCTTCCAAGAAATACCCCATTCCCACACCTGGAGCCTCTGTGCACCTTCTGGCTATTCCCCATGCTTCTCAAAGCCACTCAGCCTGCCTTGCATGCGTCTCTCAAAGTCTCAATTTTGGACTGAAAAGGGTGTTCATCGTCAAAAATGACACCTGCAAGATTTCCAGCATGCTGGTGCCATGCTGGGCACAGGCCACAACCTTCATTCCATACTTCTTCACCTGGCTGCCTACAAACAGCAGAGGTCCAATCAGAGCCTAGCAAAGTAAAGTGAATTCCTGGTGTGTCTGTGACTCAGCCGTGGGTGTCACTCAAACCCACATTGGTAGGGACTCAGCAACAAGAGCAGATAGATATAGGCACTGAGAAGGAAGATCGATTATGAGCATGTCTGAAGGGTTAGGCACTAAATTTGTCTTCCTGAACTCTAGAAGGCTAAAGATGAGCAGGACAAGGTGGCTGGTTGCAATTGTATACGCCTTTGGCTTATCAGTTGTCAGCAGCCAAGTGGGACCATTAAGTCTGAATAGCCTGAGTCTGTATCCAGTTTCTGGACAGCTTGACAAACATAATTGCTTGGGGGAGGGCATTAATAGTGCTCATGTGGCCCTCTGATGAGCACATTTCGACTCCAAGTGTTCACAGTGTTTGTCATAAGGGGACCGGCTCTCTCCTCTCAGTGTTCTTTTCTTTCCAGAACAGTCTATTAGCACTGGGTGCTTCATCTCAGTAATTGGACCTTCAGCCCAAATGGGGTGTGTGTGTGTGTGTGTGTGTGTGTGTGTGTGTGTGTGTGTGTGTGTGTGTGTGTGTGTGTGCCTGCCCCCAGGTCCTCAGCAATCTGCAAATCAACATAGAAGGGTCCTTACCCACTGCCTGTTAGGAAGTGATTCATGAACCCTTTTGTACTGTGGGAACCATCACCTCATTTGTCTGATTAAAGCTCAGAGCTCTCAGAGTAGGATGTGGGGTACAACACGTTCAGAAATTTTTCTTTACACAAACCCGAGACTTGTTAATAGGGAGCTGAGCTCAGAACACTGCGTCCAGATTTGTAGACATTTAAAAATAACCAAAGGAAAGGGGGCAGTGGGGGAGAGAAGCAATCTGAAATGGTCAGGTACCGAGTACCTGCAGCAGATTTGCCCACATTGTAGTAGCTGGTGTTATTAGAAAGGAAGATGGATGTAATTATAACCTGTCTGCTCTGACCTGCCTTCAGCACCAAGGCCTGAGAGCAGGCAATTATCTGTAAAGAGGCCCCGGGGTGAGCTAAAGAGTCCTAGCAAGAACACAAACATGCTCACATCCTTTGGCGTATAATCCCACACCTGCGATGTTGTTCCTCAGAAGTAATTCAGAGGAGAAAGGAGCTGGCATGCACAGAGATCTTTCGACTAGTATTCTACTATTCTAGTTATTAGAATGCAGTGTTGGAAGCAGTTCTGAATGCACCCGAGGACCCATGAATCCATCTGAAGAAGTTGGTGGCTCTCTGGCTCTGCATGGGAACACTGCTGCTACCAAGAAAAATGTGTTTGCAGCAGTCAGAAAAACAGAGAATTCAGATAAGTGTCTTATTTGAAAATAATATGAGAAACACTGAGAATCCATGAAAAAAGTAAAAGGATATTTGTGTGTAGGTATAACAGGAAAACTATACCCATGAAATATCTACAATATGGCTACTTAAGAACTGAACAATGACAATACCAGTTGGCATGCCACTAGGCATGGGGAAGTCACATAGGACACTACCCCAGATGAAGTTATAGGTGATTAACAACTGCTGAGAGAGGGGGAGTTAGTCTTCCCTAGAGATGAGTACCCTATGTGGTTATCTAATCCCAAATGGTCAGCCCCCCAAAATACTCACACAGCAACACTAAGTGGACTCAGTAGCTTGAATTTATATATTTATTCACATACATACAAAGAGGCAGACATGTGTTCTCCTGGCATTATCTTGTAGTCTATATAGTGATGTGTGCGTTTTATGTATGCATGTGTGCATACATATGTGTGCCTGCCTATGTGAATGCAGATGTGAGTGTTGCATATGCATGTGTGTATGTGTGGAGGCCAGAGGTTACCACAGGTGTCTTTCTTGGTTGCTTTCCACTTTATCTTTTGAGATCAGGTCTCCCATGGAACCTGGAGCTCACTGATTAGGCTAGCAAGCCTATCCAGAGATTCTCCTGTCTCTGCCTCACAGTTCTGAAGTTACAGGCATGCACCAGCATGTTCTGCTTCTTTGAACATGTGTTCTGGGGTCCAAATTCAAGTCCTCATGCTTCCATGGCATACGCTTTATCACCTGAACCATCTCCATAGCCCCATAATAGTTTCCAATAATGTAGCCTGTCTGGACTCAAAACGCGAAGGCTTTGTTGGGAAGAGACCACCTGAAGAGTTGGGAACAGAACCTATGCCATGCCCACCTCAGATTCCGACCTCACTGTGCTCATGGTAAGGTACAGCTCACAGCCCCATTCAGAACTTAGCATTGTTCATCTTAATTGGCCAAAGCTCAGCTGCTCTTCTGGGTCCCTCACCAGGGAAGACGAGCTGCTGTGTGGGTGTCAAGTAAGAGGTATTGAGAGGATGCCTGTTATAGGGCCAAGAAGGTGGTGTCTTGGACAGCATGCCAGGCACCACTGTAGCTCTTGGCCAGCACAGGCCATCTGCAGCTGCACTCACCCACTGGCCTGCCTTGTGGGTCCCTCCGATGTTGTGTTTCATCTCCACACCACGCAGGCTCTGCCCATCCTGCCCTGACTAATTCACAGCCAGACTCATTTTAGTCCTCCTCACCCACCTGCACACAGCCGCCAAATCACACATGCTTTTCAAAGCCACGCATTTGCAACCGGAAAAGAGGCCCTTTGTTTATATTTAGAGCTCAAGAGAAAGCAAATAAAGTGGCACCAGCCACCCAAACCTCCATTCCCCTATGCCCAGCCCTAAGGGAGGGCTCTTTATAGACTTGGTTTCTTTCCCTCAGTATGTGGCTCTCCTGCCCTGGCCCCATGTCCAGTTCCCCTTCAAAGCCCCTGCCATCTTTATGTTAAGTTCAAGGTTATTTGTACCAAAGAAGATGTTGAGGAATGTCCCTGAAGTCCAAGCCTTCTGAGTACTTCCCATTCGAGTGAGGATGATGGAGCCCTCGGGATTAAAGATGTAACGGGGAAAGTGCTTGAAGGGCAGCTTAGGCACAGACAGGTCCTTGGGATCTCTTACACCCCGTCCCCATCCCAAGAGGTTCCCCCGCCTCAGTAACAGCTGTAAGTACCCTTCCTTGGGCTCTTTCTAGATACCACCCACTGGGCTCTGGACTAGCCAGAAACCCCATCATAGGAACTGGTGTGTCTAACAGGTTAAGTCATTGAGTGTGGGCACCCAGCTGGGAAGTAGAGCTAGAATGCTGGCCCAAAGTCATGTGACCTCAAAGCCATGATGTTCCACATTATATCACCACCAGTCCTCCACATCTCAGGGTGGTGATTGTTAGCGTACTACAAGGGACAAAGGACATATCCAGAAGCTAGCTCCTGTCACTGCCACCAAGAGGCTACCTGTCCTGTCAGGCCAGAAGGGCCCCGGGTCTGCCCCTGTTCTGAAGTTCCCTCCACTCCGAGTAACGGCAAAAAGCATCCTCTGCGCCCCGCACATATACCCTCTAAACAGGAACCATCTATAACCTGACTTGTTCATAATTAGATTTTTAGCACATAATTACAAGATTAATGGATTAATTATAATTTATTTGCAAATCACTAAACGCATTACTCCAAAACATTCTCCCTAAAGATTATTTGGGATTGCTCAGGGCAAGATAATGAAAGGGACAGTTAAAAAATGGGAAGCCACAACCAGCAGCCTAATTAAAGATCATCAAATCAGCCTCCGCGTTCACGGAGCTGACCTTGCCGCCTGCCGCGGCGTGTGGGGAAGGGCGGTCTGTTTCTTCTCACAGATCTTCAAGCACCGTGGTAATGCATTACCCCTTCTGTTTTCCCATCTTTGTCTGGAACAGCCTCCGTTTGATGGTGAAGATGAGGACGAACTGTTTCAGTCTATAATGGAGCACAACGTGTCCTACCCCAAATCCTTGTCCAAGGAGGCTGTCTCCATCTGCAAAGGAGTGAGTACCTCCGGGTTTCCTCTCTGGCAGTCGACCCAGACGGCTGGCAGAAGAAATGCCCTTCCCACACCCGATGTTGTTTTTGAGACAGGGTCTTGCTGTTTAGCTCAACTAATCCTAAACTCCCTCGGTAGCCCAGGATGGCCTTGAACTTGAATCCTCTTGCCTGAACCTCCCAGGTGCTGAGATCACGGGTATGCACCACCATGACTGGCTTCCTTGTCCAGCCTTCTAAGAGAGACACTAGAATTATCACAAATGCACGCTGCTGCAAAATTTGGTGGCATGCGAGGCACAGGGGGACAGAATAGACTCGGACTCCAGGAGTTCCCAGTCTATTGGTTAGCATCACAAGGGGGTGGGGGCGCAGCTCACTCGGTAAAGTGCTTGCCCCGTAAACACCAAGACCTGAGTTCAGTCCTCAGAACACGTAAGACAGTCAGGCATGGTGCTGCACACTGTTGAAGCAAAGGCGAGTGGACCCCTGAGGCTCACTGGCCGGCCAGCCTAAGTCCATGGAAGAGCGACACCTGAGGTCGGCCTCTACACACATGCACACACTCATACACCCTCTGTCTTCCACACATGTTCACGTGCATACATATACCCACAGTTATACAAATAAGTCATTGCAGGCCCCTGGGGAGTGCTAATTCTCACATCTGGCCTCCTAACTAATTCCCACATCTGTGACATAGTCTGTTCTTTCTCTCTCTTAAGATAGACATATTAAAAATGGGTATGGAGCGTCCATGGACAGATCAATACATTTTCACAACATGAATGCACGCTCATAACTGTACCCTGGTTAAGAGGGACAGAACCCTAAATGTCCCCTCCTCTTTCCCCTTACAGTTGCCATGTCCCACCACCCCAAGCCAAGTAGTACTAACTACACAGACTAGTCTTGCCTAGCTTGGCCTTTGCACTGAGGGCCTTCTTTGGCGGGGGCCCCAGACTTGGCTCTTTAGCCAAGCACACAGTAGTAAATGTGGCCAGTTGCTGTGTGCTGCCCTATTTCCCTCTTCCACTGCCGCAGTGTGGTTTTTGTTGTGAGGACGCTGGACAGTCTTTCCCTGCACTCCACTCATGACTGTTTCCATCTTAGCTGGAGGCTGTTATACACAAAACCATTTTGAACCTTCAGGGTCCCTGGCCAACTCTCTTCTTTCAGGGAAATGCTAAGAATTTAACTGGTGGCATTGACTTAATTAGTGTTTAGTGGTCAAGTTTTGAATCACAAAAGTCTTTTTTAAACTTATCAAAAGAGAGTGCCCCATACCCAGTGTTTCCTATTTAGTATGTTTGGAGGTCAAGGCCAAGGTGCCCGTGGCAGCTGAGGAGCCTCTTGCCGTGGAAGAGCCCAGGGCTGGCACCTCCCTCTGAGTCCTGCATCAGATACCTTGAAATGAACCACTTGCTGCCTTTGCTCCAGCGTGTGGCTTCCTAACCCGTGTGCCTGATAATACTTTGGTCCCGGCCATGTGGAGGAATGTGATGCTTGCTGCAGCATCCCGCAGGATGCTGGCCTGCAGTACTTTCAGCACACGTGATTTTTAGTGATCTCATGCCTTTTTATCAGATGTGCATATAAATAATAGGAGCTTCTCTTCCTCTTCCTCTTCCCTCCCTCCCTCCCCCCTCACCTTCCTTCCTTCCTTCCTTCCCCGTTGGCAGTGCTAAGCATTGGGCCTAGAGCTTTACACCCTGTAAAGGAAGCTCCCTACCACTGAGCCGTAGCCCCAGTCCCCGCTTCCCCGTCTACATACAGAATGCCAGGTTCAAAGCACATGATACACATACAGATGCCTGTTTGAATTTTTATTCCATGTGGCCAGTGTCTCCAACTGCTCCCTTGCTGTGAAAATCACTATACAAAGGCCACACTTGTCAGAGCACATGTGTGTTTCTTGGTGAACTTCTAGTGTGTTCTCTGGCAGCTCCACCATCTATGCCCAGAGGCGGGGCTGGACAGAGAAGGTGCTGGCTCCAGGAGGCTGCTCTCATCAAACTGTCATTTTGTCTCTTTCTCTCTAGCTTATGACCAAACACCCTGCCAAGCGGCTGGGCTGCGGGCCCGAGGGAGAGAGGGATGTCAGAGAGCATGCCTTCTTCAGGAGAATCGACTGGGAAAAACTGGAGAACCGGGAGATCCAGCCACCATTCAAGCCCAAAGTGGTGAGTCCAGAAAAGCAGGCCAATGTCCCGAGCTGTGTCCCTGATCCCGAGCGTGGCCCTCCCTCCCTTCCTCTGGGAGGCAGGAGGCTAGTGAAGCTGGCCTTGCACAGTAAGGAAAATGAGTGAGTCACCAGTTCAGGACTGTGCACAGTCACGGAACCCGATGGCCAGAGTTCTGCTGCCTTTACAGAGTGAGGACAGATGTGAGGCCAGAGAGAGGGCAGTTGCCCAGACTCGTAGCCCTCTAAAGGATGGCCACAGAACACCCAGACCATAGCCACCAGGTTCTGCACTGCACTCGGGGGATATTGGACCCTGCAGAGCTTGCCTTGCTCTGGTCCTCGACAGGACTTGGGCCTTGAATCTGTCTCCAGCTTTCCTAGACCTGCCTGCTCTGCCAGCCTCCCTGACACCCTGCCCCACCAGGGGACCCTGAAGCACACCTAAATCTCCACCAGCCCACAGGCACGGCCTGGACACCGTTCCCACAGTGGCTTCTGCATCCACTGTGAGGAGTGGATGGCCACCACCGGTGCCACCATTGCTGGCTTTATCCAGCTTCTACTATGTAATTCCCATCTTGAAAATTCCATTTAACCCATCATGTGATGCCCCCCTTTCCAGGCTTTTTTCAAACATTAGTTCACATAGTCCTCCCAACACCCCTGTGAGGTAGACACAATTGTCCCCACTTTGCGTTTGAGGAAACCAAAACACAGAGAAGCAGGATAACTTGATAGAAGACAGAGCTGGCAGATGCTGGAAGGATGACATCAGGGTCCTTTCCCACTACGATGTCTCAGTAAGTTGGTGACAGCCCCACAGCTTCTTCTGGTAGTGAATGGCCACCACTATGCCCCTTCTTGTGGCTTCTGTCCCTAGAACTAAACTAAACTGAGTGTCTTGAAGACACCAGTTCCTCACACCCCACCTGCTTCTCCACAGTGCCCAGGGTATCTCCCCAGCCCTTCCAAGTCTTCACCCACAGACTCTGCCCTGTGCCCCCCAGAGACTGCAAGGCACGCTGCCATAGTCCACAGTCAGTGTCATAACTCCAGCTGCCAGATTGGCCCCATCTGTCTCTGGCCAGCAAGCTGGGCAGGCCAAGGAGACCCCTGTGGGGGCAGAGGTGCTGAGTAGGAGCAGCAAATCCTTCCTCAGATGTGTCCATGTGCCCTCTGCACCAAAAATAACACTGGCAGTGGCGAGTCCACCGGACTTTCTTCTCCTCAGACATTTTTAGCACAGACTGAAGACAAACTAAAATTAATCAGGTCAGTTGACTTCCCCCTGAGTCATTGTTTCAAACAGGCAACTAGATAGTCCGCTTCCCCTCCTAGCTTCTCCACCAACCCGGATTTGGGTGCTCTTAGGAGGCCCTCTTCTTCAGGCAACAAGACCTGGTTGTAAGGCTTGGGGAGATGAGCCAATGCAGGTACCTCAGCTGGACAGTGTTTCAGAGTTCCTTTGTTCACAGCTGCCTAAATTAAAACATGAAGTCAGCAGTGGCGTCTGAAGCAAGGCCTGTTTCCCTACAGGAGCAAAAGCCCCCCTACCCACCTCCATTCCCCACCCCGTGTGGACCCTGCTTAAAGGGCCAAGCAGAGAGGACTTACTAGTCTGTCAATTTTAGAAAGAGGCGGAGTGCCGCCAACCTGACCACAAGGCGCAGTTTCTTCTGACTCTTCTCACCTTGAGTTCAGAAAAAAAGACTATTTCTGTCTCCCACCTTTTATAGGTAGTTGGCCTTAAACTCATCAATAGAGAAAACCGGGGGTGATTTGTCTTAGGCAGCTGAGAATGTGAGCTGATCCCCTTGGGTTATGGAAGGATCTGGAAGCATAGTGATTCCTATGGTAACAGCCAATGTGTGAGCAGTGTTTATTTTATTATTCCCAATGGACTGCACTTTGTTTGTTTGTTTGTTTGTTTGTTTGTTTGTACTGAGTGCTAGTTTAAAAAAGGAATAAATTGCATTTGGCTGTGAAGAAACAACCACCAGAATCACAGACAGAAACAGAAATTGTAGACAAAGTTCCTAAAACTGTAGCTTTTGTGAAGAAACCAGAGGTGAGAACAAGGCCACACCTGCTCACAGTGATCTTCTCTTGCCCTAGATCCTGTGCTCAAGGAGGCAGGAGCCAGAAAGAACTGTAGGGACAGAAGCCAGGCCAGAGAGGGGACACAGTTAAGGGGGGAAAAGAGCGGGAAGAAAGAGGGTTGGATGCTTGGTTTTCACAAAGAAAGGTGGCGGAAATCCTGGTCACACACTGGCCAGCAAGGTGTCACCCTCGATCTCAGTCCCTACCCTGTCCCCCATGCCACAGACCCAAGGCAGTCGCCTCCTAATGTCAGGTGAGGAGGATCATGCAAGGGTCTCTAGGGTGTCACTCTGTCCACATGGCACAGTGCTGAGGTGGAAATACCCTACCAAGAACAGGGCAGCGGTTGAAAGGTCATTTAGGACAGAAGAAAGCAGCACAATCACAGTATGATTAGCACAGGTAGAGGGAGAAAGGACTGCAGACAGAAGCTACTCTGGGATGTGGCTTCCCAGCTTCCCTGGTGAAACACGCTTCTCTGATCCATGGCTAAATGCAAACTCAGAGGAGTGTGCAGAAAAAAAGCAGCAGAGCATTCTCCAACAGGTAGTTAGTTCAAAGAGGGGTGAGCAGCACAGGCCTCTGGGTCGCTGCTGTAAACACCCAGGCAGTGTGGCTGCCAGAGCCTCTGACTCCCTTCCATGGCCTCCCAGTGAGCCTGGCTCTGAGAGCCCCCTGCCACCCCCACCTCTGAGCAGCCCTCAGAGGCCTGGCTGACAACCTTGTCCATCTTGGTGGGGCCTTCCAGTAGGTTCTAACAAGCACTGATGAGCCAATTTCCCTGAGATCTGCAGGACTAAGGGCCATTAGCTGTTCTTCCATTTGTACTGCTCCGGCTTCCGTGGAATTTAAGTACCAGCTGTGGGACTTCAAGTGCTCACAATCCTGGCTGGCTGCCTCAGGGCATCTCATCCGTGATTGTAGATTCAGGAGTCTGTTGGGGTGTTCTGTTTTGCTTTTGTCTTTTGTTTTCTACCACTTTACTCATAAACCTCGGAAAAATGATTCCAGAATTACAGACACCCTCCCCCTCACTAGAAGGAAGGGGAGAGGTATCACATAGCAGGGCAGAAGTGGAACTTACCTGGAGGAATCAAGGTTCCCTTGGTGTACAGTCTGTTTACACCCTTTTATCACTTGAGTAACAACTTAAGCTAACCTTTAGACCAAAGAGTCATGCAACATGTGAGGTGTCCCAGCAAAAGACCCTTATGGTACAGAATCCATTGGGAGGTTCTCTACAGGACCTTCCATCTCCCACTGACATAAAGTCAAGGCCAACACTGCTTCTGTGGCCTGCCTCCTGTGGGATGTCACACTTAGGAGAGCAACAAGACAAGAGTAGTGGGTATCAAAAAATGGGGACTGGAGTCTCGCAGTGAGGGAAGAATTTGTCCTACAGTGACCATGGTGAGAAGGCCCAGTCCCTGGCAGAGCCATGTCTGTCCTCCAGAGGCTACCATGTGCCACCGTGAAGCCAAGATTATCCCTAGGTGAGGCAGAGGCTTTCCTGTGCTAATTTGTTTCAAATAAAGGTAAAACTAGACAGATGTGCCATGCCGACCCAGCAGTAAACCACTAGACTACTGTCTCCTCATCCTTATGCGAAAACCGCCATCCCATAGGGTCCCAGTGAGCTGCTCAAGGAAACACATACAATAAACTTCAGCCATGATGTGCCCAATGCTCCCCACAGACAACCCAAGTTGTTAAAAGAAAGGCTGTCCATATTTGGACAACTCCATGAATGAGGGGCTGTTTTTAGAAGACATGTTGTCTCTGAAAAAGTTACAGAAGAAATGAATGTTCTTTCTCTCCTGTGGCTTCAAGCAGGCAAGGAGGTACCATACAAGGAGCCATACAACCAGCCTGCTTGGCCACCTGACTCTCACTAAGGGAAGAACAGTCCTCTCTTTCTGCTTGGCATAAAATATAAAAGCTCCCAGATGCTAAGGAGCCCTCGACTGCAGGGCTGCTCTCCTGATGGATTAGTCATGCAAATGAAGTGGCCCGGAGTCTTCACTCCATTTCCCCACCTGAAATGAGTAGCAGTGTCTACAGACACAGCAAAAGCCCAGTTAATTGATTTTATTTATATATATATATATATATATATATATATATATATATATATATATATATATATATATATATATATAGAGAGAGGAAAGCACAATAGCTCTTCCCGGACAAGCCAGAAATAGCCACTGTACTGGAAGGCACATTAGAGGAGGGATGTTAACCTGTAATGTCAACACCAAGAACTAAATATTCTTGAATCGACAGGTAGGAAAAACATTTTTTTAGGTGTGCCAATCTCTAAGAGACAACCTTCCTTGGGAAATTGTTGTAGTTGCTTTATCAAAAGGAGGTAGAAAAAAACTAGAATAACTGTCACGGGGGCCTTCTCATCCTTGTAGCAAGAGCCAAAGACAGCAAGTGTAGACATAGGTGTCACTGGATGAGCAGGCACAATCATGATTCCTTCCCCCACCATGAAAGGAGCCCGCAGTGGAGATGCTTACAAGATTAGGGTCCCCTTGCATGACATCATTAGCTTGTTTAGAGAATATGATGATGGTTTGGGGTTGGCAGCTATTTTTTAAATTACTTTGAAAGAATTTCTCAGACTTGCAAGAGTTGGGAAGCTGGGCATGGTGGCAGCCCTCCAGTAATACCACGACTCAAGAGGTGGAGGTAGTGGGATCATGAACTGGAAGACAGCCCGAACTACATAGTGAGATCCAGTCTCAAAAAAGCCAAAGGCTAGGGGTGTGACTTAGAGGTACAGCACTTGCCTGGCAGGCATAAGGCCCTGGGTTCAATCCCAGCACTACAAGGGGAAAAAGAATGTCTACATTCCCATTGCCTAGATGTTAACATTGGACCATGCTTACC